GAACGAAATTACCGGCCAAAGGCTCCTTATCGCGCGGGCTCATGCTCTCATTTCCAAGGCAACGCGTGGCGCCCGGGGGCAGGGAGAGGGCAGCGTGCGAGGGCTGTTTGCGGAGGCGGGGAAAGGCGTGTGGACGACGCCCGGGATGAGGTGGACGGGTGGCTGGGTGAGAGCTGGGGGAAAATACGCCTACGGCCACGGAGGGAGGGAGGGAGAGGACGGTGGGGGGATTGGTGAGCTGCGGAGAGCAGGAGCGGCGGCGCGTGAAGGGAGGCAGGGAGCATTCGCAGGGGTGGAAACGCAAAGCGCGTTCGTCGTGGGAGAAAGCCGCGGGAAAGAGAGTGGAGACGGGGCCAGGAGAAGTAGCGGAACAACGGCGTGTGAGGGGGGAGGGGCGTAGGTGACTGCGAGAGGGGAGCGGGGACAATCCTTCCATCTCTCCCAAGGTGAGTGGGAAGTAGGGGAGCGCGGGGACGACTAGACCGAGGAGACGGCAGGGCGGGGTAGCGAGAAGAATGGGCGAGACTGGGTGTGTTGGTTGTTAGTAATTCCGGGTGCGTCAACGGCTAAGATCGTTTATCCCGTAAGTGTGGTACATGTTGCATCTCTGGAAGTGGTGGGAAGCATCGGGACGTGATCATACACCGCTGAAAAGTGAGACCGTCGACTACGGGAGTTACCCACAACCAAGCACCTTCCACCAGCAGGGCCTCGCGGAGCTAGAACAAGCTCTAAGCTCTCGACTTGCCTTCCGAGTGAGTACAAGGGTGGTAGTGTAGTGCCTGTTGGCGTTAGTCTGTGCAGTGGTGGGTGAGAATAGGTCACGAATTGGAAAGGAAAGACTCCGTGGTCCGTTTGTTTCGGTACTGCTGCGGCTTTCGGCTGGTGTTGACCGGAGAAATCATGGCAAAACTACCGATCAAATCTGGGCACTAGAATTCATCTCCATCGGCCTAGGTATCTAGCTAGTTGGTCTCGAACCTAGGACCTCCCGATCAGCAACACTGCAGCGCCATCAGTCGACGCCGGCGGGCCTGGGCGTGCGGCGAAGCGCCGGGGTGGCAGGCCCGCAGGCCTGGGGGGCGTGGCGCGGGAGCACTGTATATTACTCGCGGGCGTGCGGTCCGCCCCCCCCCGGTGCGCCGGCGGGCGTCGCAGTGACAAGACAAACCGCTCCTCATCTGTCGTTAGCAGCTTCAACGCGCACCGCCCGATCAATACGGCTGCGTCGTGCGGCGGCGGCGGCGCCGCGCGCGTCCGCGTTCGCGTGTTTGCGTGCGCGTCATTAAAAGAGCAGCGCCTGCCTCCCGCAGCAGCGGCTCGCGCCGGACGGCGCGGTGCGGCGCCACGACGGCTCTCCAAGCGCCCAGGGCGGTGGCGTTGCTTGTGGAGGGAGAGATTGCACACCTCGTGGTTAAAGTGAACAACGGTTGGGTGGCGGATAATATCGAATAATGAAACGGGTCTTGTATCTAGTCCAATAATGTACGTTAAAAATTAAAGGTATTGGATGATTTTTTTTATTTCACAGTTAGGTACAGCAGACCTCCAATGTGTTGTGTCTATAAATGCTAACGTCTTTGCTGGTTATTTTATTTTGTTGGATATTGTACGAGTATTATTAAATTTTCCAATTGTAATTTATTGTGAAGCAATTTAGCATCTTAGAATTATTACTCAAAATGGGCCAATGTAATGAAATCCAGCCTAGAATTTGGTGACAAGTACATAAGGTGGAAAATATTGAAAAACCAATATTAAAATCATATATTAGCGTAGTGTATGTTGTTATCTTTTCTCATAAGCAATTCAACCAATAATTATAATGGCTTCAAACAATCTCTGAGAGTTTTATAATTATGTAAAATGCCGTTACAGGATATCGGTCATAGAGATTTGTATTTGTAAACATTACACACAGTATTTTTAGAAGAAATGAATGAAAGTCTTTATTCCTACTGATAGTTTAAAAAGAAAAATTAACAATTTACAAACTAAGTTTAATTCCTTTTTCGAATATATAATGAACCCACAGAAAATTGGAAAGAATAATAACCAACTCAAAGTATAGCTTTTGTCTCAAAAATCGATACAAAGTTCAATAATGTAGATGATTGCATCGGCAGTCATTCTGCACTAATATTGCGGTTTCATAAATCTCTAAAGCCATCAACCATTAAGGCAGGAATTTGCGTTGATATGATTGATACCAGAAGAACACGGAGGAGAGTGACGGAAAATGTGACACTAGTGATACAGAATGGGAAGGAAGTGGTGTCTGACAGTAACGGTGGTGGTGGTGATGTCGGGGGATTGAGGTACAGAATGGTGAGAGGCCGATGGTGGGGGACGGTGGCGGGAACCGACGGTGGTGAGAACGGGTTAATGGGTTTTCAAAGGGTTGGGAGTGGCACGCCAAGCAGATGAAGGGGGACGGAGGGGGGACCGTGGCGGAACGGAGAGGTGACAGTGCGATGACGGCGGGGGACGGCCTGGGAATTCGGGTAGGACGAGTGGGGCGGCGGGGGGCGGCGGAGGGTGACGGCGAAGGGACGGCGGGGAGTCGAAGGTCGACGGGAGGACGGCGGGGACGGCGGGGGACGGCGGGGGCGGCGGGGGACGGCGAGGGGTTCAGCGGAGCGGAGCCGAGCGGCGACTGCGGTGGGCGCAAGTGTCGGTAGCTGCAGGGAAAGAGACGGAACGGTGGCGGCGGGCGGCGAGGAGGTTGTAAACGTGGGCGAGGTAAGCAGAGGAGGGGTGGCGGTGGGCCCCGCCACTCGACGCAGCCGCATTGTGCGCGTGATTGCGCTGCAAAGTGGCCGCGTGGGCCCTCCCCACTCCCCACTCGCACCCTGCGCCCGCCCCCGCCCGCTTCACGCCAATGATACTCCGACTCTGCGAATCGCAAGGGCATCGCCGCGTCTAAGCGAAGCGAAGCGACCTCCGACACGCTCAGCGAGAAGCAGAATGGAGGTAACGCAAAACACGGGGATTACTACGCGGGGAAAGCATTGGATATCTGACGTGGACATGCTCGAGATCAATTTGAAGCAAACACATTATTGGATATGCGATGTAGTTACAGCATGTACATATGTTTACCGGAGCAAAGATGAGGCCAAACATAAGTGCAGTGGTTTCCCTTCACCTGCCGTTTGCATTGACGGTGACTGTAACTACACCCAAAAAGCTTTTTTCTCCAATAGGATGAGATTATATGTTATAATGCGAATGAAGAAGACATATCCTGGACCTTTACTTCTTAAATGGACTACTCCAAATTCCACGTAGAAGTCTTTTTTTAAAGATGGTTCAAAATTTAAATTCTAGAATCCATTAATAATGGGTTAGGAAGACACAAGAATGAAAAATGCACCATTATTTCAAAAGTACACAAGTTTCAATTTTCATAATGTATGACACATTTCACCTGATATGCGGAGGATTAAAAGATAAATAGGGAAAGAGAAATTTAGATCACATGAAAATATTTTATAATAAGAAGAATGATAAATAATACTACACGTGTCGAAAATATGGTTTGGAAAGACATGAAAACACAGCTCTTCAGCGATTCAATCATGAGTAACCAAGGAGAATAATTAATATTAAAGCAAATTTAAGGTCAATTCAGAATATATAGAACTGCCTACCCTAGAAAGGTAATACTCAAAGATGATACAGAATATTTCCCATGTAGTAGTCAGACAGAAAATAAATACTATAAATATATTTTTCAATTTGTGGTATCTAATTAGCTAACAATCTCTCTCTCTCTCTCTCTCTCTCTCTCTCTCTCTCTCTCTCTCTCTCTCTCTCTCTCTCTCTTTCTTTCTTTCATTCTTTCTCTCTCTGTATATATGAATATATATGCTCATGGACGTACAGAATCTGCAACTAAATGTAAGTAAATGTAAGACGGAGACAGAGAGAGTCAGAAAGACGAGGAGAGACAAAGTGTGAGAGTTGGAGGAAGGGGGAGATGAAGGGATGAACAGCGTCTGTCGGGTTGCGTTATTATTTCAATAGATGTGGGGCAGAGAATAACTGGTGTTTGATTTCCTATTTTATAATATACCAGAAATGTTAATAAAAATCATAAAAATAATTGTCAGAAAATACATGACAGAAAATATTAGTAATAAAACCAAAGCGTTTTATTACACTATCGAAATACATAACTAATAATACATCGAGCATTCTTGTTCACTATAGTGCAAATATAGTTTGACGAGTATATTTTTTTATAAAGCTAACTTTGAATTTAATCTATAAATATCAGTATGTTTGAAACTAGATTAATGATATCACATTTGGATACAATGTAATATTTATTTTCTACGTTCTAAAACAAAGACAAAATGTAAAACACATTTCCCGTACAGAAAATCAAACAAGGGCATTGTATTTTTAACTCTAAAAAATTGCCAATTCAGGAGAAATTTTCGAGAACGCAGAGGAAAATTAATTCACTTTAAAACCTTCCAACACATACTCATCAAAATATTCGAGCGTTAAAATACAGAGATAAAAGAATTTCAATATGCGCATTTTTGTGATTCATTGCCACTCTGATGTTCCGTGACAAATACTCCGCTGCCATCGGAAATCAAATGGAAAGGGCGGTGGGGCCGCGGGTGGGCGAGGACAGCCACGTCGCCCACGCCGTCTTCCGAGCGCATATTCCACCTCCGCGTTTTTTACGGGCGCCCTCTTTTTCATGTAGTATTTTTGCGTTACCGACGGCGATAAATCTCTGCCTCCAACAGCGGAAGCGGTGGGGCTTGATGGCGGCCATTAGCCGCGCGCCAATATTGTCTCAGCTCTGAAAAATACGCCCCGCCCGGCCCGGCCCGGCCCGCGCCGCACCGCGCCTCCTGGCGCTGCCGATGACGAGTCGCGTTGGACGGAAGACTGACGGCCGCCGGCCGGCCGGCCCCCGCGGCGATCCGCGAGCTGCCACGCCCCCTCCGGCCTCACGCCCCTCTCTGCGGTTCCATCCCCTCTCTGGTTCCGTCTCTCCATCCTCGAGCCTCAGTCTCCTATTCTAATTCCTTCGGTTGCATCCCTTCTCCCATTCCGTCTCCCCATCCCTGCGCCTCACTCTACATTTCACCGTTTCGGTCCCTTCGGTTCCACCCTTTCTCCGTTTCCGTCTCTCCACCTCCATGCCTTCTTTTCACACTCTACTCAGCTGCTTCGATGGTACCCTATTCTCCCATTCCGATTCTCTCCGTTCCAGTCTCTCCGACTGCACCCCTTTTCCTGTTCGGTCTCTCCACTCCGGGGGCTATGTCGCAGGTATTCTAACCCCATCCATCTTTCCGTTTGAGGCTCTCCGACACAATTTTCTCCCCTCGTCTCTTTCTATCCACCTCTCGCGACTCTCTGTGCCCTGACTCTGCGGTTCTACCCTTTCTCATGTTCCGTCTCTCCATCATCTGCCTCCGACTCCGATTCTCTGGCCTCGTCCACCTCCACACCCGCGGCCCTCCACCACCGTATCTCTCCCTTCGGCTGACACCCCTCCTTCCCCCCCCCACTCCAGGTCGCATTCTCCCCCTCCTCACCTGTCACCACCCACTCTCACATGTAGCTGGACGATCATTAACATGCCACCGCTTCTCGTGAGATCTTGCTGACATTTGTTCCTGATGATTTTGGAAGTTTGCGTTTCCATTGCCACGACTTGAATTCTGGTACCGGTAGTGTCTAAAAATTACATCAGAAATAAACAGTTAACAATGTATCTTGTGCACTTATACAATTATAAAGTTTTAACTGGAACCGATAACAATGCCTTTTACAATATATGCAGGAGATGTAAAAAGAATAGAAAGCATTGTCATCATGAGATATAACAGTTCGTAGGGGAGTTCATCAATGTCCAAGGAGCGTGGCGGGAACAGTCGGCGTAAACATACCTACTCGAATACAGTCCCTACTCTCAGGTGTGCTATACCAAAACCACGCCTGTCCCATCCGACGCCCGGCGCTTTTTATATTCAGGCGACAACGTCACGGGCAGTGGCTCGCCTCAGCTTTTCGTTCCAGTGGCGGCTTCCGTTGCCCTGGTGAGCCCTAACACAGCACACCACCTAGCGCTGCTCCGCTGCCAGCGCGTCAACTCCAAACGCGTAATGCATCCATGATAGAAGGTGAACGGTGTGACCGTTTAGCCGCGTTTACGGATTAAATAGTTCTTCCCTCACAGGAAATCATTTCAGGTCATTCGCTTTTCCTTTCTCGGCAAACATCCTTTCGTTGGCGCATTTCGCAGGCCGAATCCCGGCAGGCCTAGGCCGTGGGCATGACGAAAAGGGCTTCGTGTGGGGAATTCCCGGCGGAAGGCGCAAGTAAACGCGGCTTCGGTAGTAAAAGCGTTAGCTTATCGGAATGTTTGGGCGTATCGGGAGTTTGTGAGTGCAAACAAGAATAAAGCCACGGATTTTTAAAGGCGAAAAAAAAATTCTACGCTCGCCTTTCCGTGGAGGGGAAGTAACGTTAAGTAATATTATAGATTTACAAGTGTAAATTTAAGAATCCTAAAATAAACCTCTGAGCTAAATTCACAATCGCGGGTTTAAATCAATGGGCAGAATGATACATTCTTTCTCCGCTAGATGGTGAAAGAAGCATATAAAATTTTAATCGTCACACGGAAGAGCAGGTGTGATAGCCCGAGTCTCGCCATGTAATATGAGGCATCAATGAATGAAATTGAATTGTGAATTTTGTCACCGCTTGCAGCGAGTGGCCAGTGAGTCAGGCAAGGCGCAAAACGGGCGCGGAACGAACAACACCTTTGGAGGAAATGAGCAACCTTGGTGCAAAAGGTATATAACGATTTCATAGGTACTTTTCTAACAAGGTTTTTTAAGATATAGCTGCATTTTATGCATATCAGAAATTTAGCACTTAGATGTGTATCAGTAAAGAGGGTGCGTTGTTTACTCCATACGTGCGTTAGTTAGTTTACTTGATGTTTGGTGGTGAGTCTGGTTCGCATCCAAAGAGAAGTTTGAAAATCCGCTTCACCTCTGTTTTCCCTCCCATTTCATTTTCACCTTCATTATAAATCATCACCTCATCTTAATCACCATTTTAATTACCTTCAACATAAACGTCTTACCGAGGCGGGACAGCAATGTTGAGGTTCTTTGGGGATACGGTCTCCGTTTGCTACACATTGCATGGTATGGCCAGGGCATAAGAACTCACCTTCAGTCACTGTCCCGTCCGCCCCACAGTAGAATCGACAAAATTGACGGGGCTTGTCTACTTTTGCTACTTAAGCTATACACTCCGTACGCAGTTTGAGAGAGCGATAAAGAAGGTAAGGAGTAGGGAAGATACTGACGGAGAAATAAGAAAGCAACCGAAGCAAAGAAGTGGGCAATACTGCAGACAAGAAAAAAATCTTTATATGGAATAAACACAATCATTTGCGGTAAAAATTCCAGTGCCGATTATCATAAGCAATGTTGTAAAACACTTATACAAAAAAAAGAGAAAAAGAAAAATTGGGGGCGACTAATGTGAACATTGTGAAATGAAATTTTTGTACATGTATCAATTCCCATTTATCCCCCCATTTTGTACATGTATCATATTCCCATTTATTCAGACAGTTACGAAAATGCATTTATTTTTGAAAATATTATGCCAGTCTTACGGATATGCTATTACTCACAAATGGCGAAATGTGTTTAAAATCACTTGAACGGTATTAGAGACTTCCAAATCATTTATTTAATATTTAAGTAAGGTTACGTTAAGCACCGACTATGACGTATTGGGAGAAAAACGTTATAGCTCCATTGAAACCTGGCAATCGATGTTTTCATGAATGGTATTTTTCGCGATTAGTTCCGTCACTCGCCGCGCAGGAGAGAGAAAGACGCGAGCGCGTCCCGAGTGGGTCGCCGACGCGGACGGAGCTCCTCAGCGAAGGCGGAGCGGCCTCTCCGCGGCTCTCAGGCGGCAACAGGTCGCGAGGGCGCCAAGGAGGGCGGCGGCGGCGGCGGCGCTGTTGACATGGAGCCGGGGCCGCTACCTGAGAGCGGCGCGCCACCGACGAATGTCGCCCCCGCCCCACACGGCGCTCGCCGCGCTCTTTTCGCAGCTTCCGTGGATTCCGCTCACTCGGATATGCCCTCCCCCTCCCACCCGCCCGCCCGCCCCCCACACCAAACCTCGCTAAAGGCTCCGCCTCCGCACGCCCCGCTGCGTCGCGTCCTCTGTTCCCGCGGCCAACCTCCAACATCCTCGCTGGATCATGGATCATGGCACACGTGCGTCCCCCCACCTACCATCTACGCGCTTTTAACGCCGCCTTCGCACCTGTGCGCCCGGTCCCCAACCCCCACCCGACCCCACCTATCCAAAACATCCCCCCGGCCTCCCCACCACCACCATCCCACCATCGCTCCCCACGTCAGACCATCTCCCCGTCCTAATCACGCCCCTCTTCCTTCTCACCCCAGCCGCCTCACCCGCCCTACTTCTCTCGCTGCCCGCCGCCCACCCTCGCCGCCACCGCCATTCCCGCCCCTCCCATCCGCCCTCGCCGCTCACACGTCTCCCATTGTCAGCGCTGCCGTCACCACCTCCGCCGTTGCTGCGAGCGAATTGAGTAGTTTTTGCCTTAAGTGAGTTTTGGAGCCAACTATGTCCCAGGCGCTCAAGAGCTCTCTCTGGCACGCTCCCACGTCGTCGGTGCGAACATTCCCCGTCGAATGTCTTTAATGAGTTGAATGTCGAGTAATTCATGGTTCAGCAGAATCCGTTTTTTTATTGCGCAATTTCAAGAGAAATGTCACATTAAAAGGAACTGTAAAAACTAACATACTTTGTAAGTTTGACAGTACCATTTGTATTATTTAAGCTATATAATTAATGCGCAAAATAAATCACCTGGAAATTAATATTATTCACATGCCTTTTTAATCTGATATTGAACCATTTATTTCAGCTTACTTGTTTATATCAAGATTAAAATATATCAATTAAAAATTAAAAGTGAATGTGTGAAATAGAAATACATTTTCACTTCATGAAATGCAATTCATGAAAATGAACAATAACTCATAAATATTTAATCGAAATGTTAGAAAATCAAAAGAAGACTCATATAAGGTAATTCAGTATTTTACGCCTAAAATATTTAATTTCAAAACGTCAAAGTTGCTAAAAAGAATTAAAGTTTGTTTCCTAAACAAATGTTTATACGAAAAAAAGTGGATTTTTATCAGACACAAGAATTTAATAGTTCTCATTGAAATAACCAACAATGCATAGTATCTTTCTTAAATTCAATGTTCTATCACGATTTGAAAACAGTTAAAATCCAGTCAAAGCAATGAATGTAATAAAAGCGAGAACTTTGAAAATAATGACTTACTTTTACACAATCACGAACTTGTAATTTCTCAAATTAGATATAATTTCAGTAACTTTTCATATTCGTAAAATGCTAAAAATTCATTCCTAATTTTACTTTCAGTTAACCTGCAACAAAAAGTATAGGAATTTAAACAAATTTACTAAAATACGTCAAACAGAAACATACAAATATAACAAACAGGTGCCATTGTCTCATGAGAGCGTGCTCATTCTCATTTTACATTCTCATTTCACAATTCTCAAGTCGTTTTCTCAGATCGCCTCATTTGTTATTAGCATTTATATTGCCGAGTGATTGTGTAGTAGCGATGCAGGTATAGCTGCTATCGACCAGAGAAGCATAATCTACGGCAATAACCCAGTTGACCGAGCCAGACATACGACATAAACTTGGAACCATACAAGACATTTATGTGCTCACGTACTAGTTCATTGAATGGCGAATGAACACACATGGCGTAAATAATTATTGGCTCAGAGACGGTCGCTTCCTTTGTGAGGGTCACCGCTGGAAATCGCGGCCGAGGGTTGTCGCCAGCGCCGCCTCCGCCGCCCTCCGCTGTATCCATTAACGGCAAGTGTTGCACCGGAAGTTGTGGGCGCGCGAGGGACGCCGGCGCGGTGGCCCGACTTCCGCTCGCAGTTACTGCAGTTGCCGCAAGTTACTGCTAGTTAGCTGGCTAACTGGCGATATTGGTTAACCGTCTGTTTGCGTACCTGCTACCGCGGCGGCGGCGGCGGAGGCGGAGGCAGATGCGGCGGCGGGGCCAAAGGGCGGCTGAGGAGCAGGCGGGCGCGCTATGATCAGCGAACTGCTGCCGGGCGGAGAGCCCTTTGCCATCACACGACGTAACACTGCCAAAACCTCGAAGGGAAGGGTAGTTTCTTTGGCATGGTAAATTTTGGATCCAAGACAAGACGGAATTGAATCATGGAACCATTTGTTTTTTTTTTACTTTTTGTTAATAAAAAAGTAATATGTAGACATGTTTAACTTATTTTGCTTTTTGACTCCCTTCGATCTCAGTTCCTTTCTCGAATCTGCGTCGAGGAGAGAGAAAGCTATGCCTTTCTGCTGGAGCAGAGCGGTTTTTTGACGGAAAATCACATTTTGCGGGTCCTTCATACCGACATATTCGGTCTTTTTGAAGTACCCACGTCTATCTGTGAATAGAATTAGCACCTAAACCGAACCCAGGATATTCTCCCAAATTGATATTATCAGATCGAACTGGTTCAGCCTCCCAATCCTCCCCCCTCTCCCATCTCTAGAAACGCATTTAACCTTCGTTAGAAATTCAAAAAAGTGTAGGATCCTTAAAACGAACGCAGTACATTTGCAGCAGCATCATCAAAAACTAATGATGCCTTGATATAGGAAACGAGACAGTGTTAGTCAATTCTCATTTAGAATGACATACTATAGGATGTTCAAGACAACTTCATTATTATTTCCACTCATCCGTAAATAATTATGATGAACACTGATGTCAAACGTGTCACAACTATGCCATAGGAAAATATAAAACCAAACTCAATTTTTCTTCCAGTTCTGTAACTCACAAGAGAGAGCTCTTAGGAAATATGTGCTCCCTTCTCTTAATTCAAAGATGCATAAAACTATGCATCGCGTTAACTATGGTGAATCATTAATAAAAAAATCAGCATAAGTGAAGTACATTCCTTAACACTCACCATTGTGAGAAAGAGCAACTGGTCGCTAGCCATGATCGCAACTCACCTACAAAAAAGAAAAAGCAATTAGTACAAGAACGAAATATACAAGAAATGCTGATCACATGGAAAATAATGTTTGTGTGAAATATGAACCCACAAATTAAACGTTTTGTATGATTTACAAATACCGTAATGATAAGAGATCACTTAAAAATTCCTTTACAAACATAAATTATTTTTCAACTTCTTCTCTCTTTTGTAACAACTTGTAACACATTCTCCTTCTCCGAGGTAAAAGTTTAATTTTTAATCGTTCCCTTCCTGAATGGAAGGGTATGTTTTAAAAAAAATATGGAATTAAAAAACAATATAGTCATATTAAATTAATAACAATATAATACTTCACTAAACTACGTTTGTTCTATTTACTGCAAGTTTTGAATTATAAGCAAAGAGCAGTGATGTAAAAGTTCTCTAAACTGTTTATTACAATTTTCTAATTTTATGCCAACTAAAATGATTTTTAAATTAACTAAACCTAATTTCAATTCAGTTGGTTAAAAAGTAATTATTTTACATTACTTTACGGCGGTTTTAGCCCCTCGCGGATTCTAAACGACAAAGCGTTTCCTGTGTGGCAGTCCCTCTGGCTGGCTGGCCGCGCCACGTCGCAGCGTCTGCGTGCATTTCCTCTTCCTCCGCGCGTCTCACTCTCGCGTCCAAAACGCCTAGCACGCCGCCGGCCGGCGTCTCGAGTCCTGCATAATGAGAAAGCACCGAATTTTGGATGAATTCCCAGCTATCATAATACGAGCCTCAAGCTGTCGAAGGGTTAATGCATCACAGACCGGGGCCTGAAACGTCTTCTTGTCTGCAAACATCAATCCGTCTCCAATATTTGCATATTCCTCGGCCTCATGGGAAATCTCTACAGCTTCGTTTGTACTATACATTTTTACTAGAATAGTCTTTATCTGTAAAACATTTGATGTACTAAAGAAAATGTATTTTCTCAGATATTTATGTTGCTGAATATTTGCTTCTCTCCAGAGTGCAGAGCTTCTCCCCATTTATCTTTCGTCTCTTTGCCTTTGCTAATACTTGTGTTTACGCCGTGTTAGGATATCGGGGTTACAGTCAGTGCCACGTCGTGAAGAAGCCGTGGCGAGCCAGACGAATTGCAATTCATCCGTTGCTAGAGTCATTCGTTTCGTTTCTTCATGGTTACCATCCGCATGTTCATTTCTGTAAGCTCATTTATTACAATCATGATCACTTATGCAATTTTCTGCAATGTTTATTTACTTCTATTGGACTATAAAAAGCATATTCTCATGGCATCTAAAATATTATGTCCATTAGGATTATGTATATATGTATACAATTTAATGATATTACGTAGTAAAGTAGATCGAATATATAATGTGTCACTTATATAGCATATCATAAGATAACTTAATCTGCGGTAAAAAACGGAGCTATGAAATCCTAAAAAACTGCGTAAATAAGGCGTGTAAGCTATCTTTAAATATTATCGAACAAGGGCGATAAAGAAAGAAATCTCTCGCTTGAGCAACCAAACATTAAAGGCAATAAAAACGAGATAACATTCCACAGAGTTGTAATGAAATATTCATTAAATTATTGAACAAAATCCAATCACCTGGCTTCCAAGAATATTAATATTAACCACGAAGAGCATGCGAATGAAAAAAGATGTCATCGATAAACCATCTTCGCAAAACTTGTAATGCAAGCACGTTCATCGTACTTTCCCGCGGAAAAGACAGCACCGGAGAGGAGCGTGGGGAGCGTACGGCGAAAATTCACGCTCCCTTGCGCGCGACTGTTGCCTTTCCGCGCGCAAGTCGCCCTTCTGCTTCTCCTCCGCCACGCCCTACGCTCCCGCCCCCGCCCCCGCCCCGCCCGCCTCCCGCCTCGCCCATTGGTTACAAAGCTATCGCTATAGAGCGCGCGGATTCGCAATCATATTCAGGAGCCTCCGAGGTAAACGAACCGCCCCCCCCCGCCCCAGAGACGGGCAATACGAACTATGATAGCGGGGTATTCATCCAGAATTCGCCTCATCTTCGCCATTATGCAGGGCATCAGCACTCGCCGGCGCGCGCCGGCGCCGTCGGCGGAGAGCGGTTGCGCGTGACGCGGAGGCTGAGAGGAAGACGGGGCGAGGAGAGGCCCCGACAGCTGCGCAGGCCACCAAGTCACCTTGCCACACGTAATTGACGGCCTGGTGAGGCTTCGTTGGCATTGGAATACGAGATGTACAGAATGAAGTCGCCTTTACCAATGTCTCGATCTACAATACTCTCATCATCCGAAGAAGGTTTTGTGCGATTTTGTGAGAAGCGATCGCCACAGATGGCCATAAATACGCTACAGATGAATAGATAATTTTCTCTTTAACCGTTCATGAAGCACATATAAGACAAACAGTGTAAAGGTTTGTGGATTGAAGTGTTCTAAAAATTAGCAGGCGCATTCACCCTTGGCAACGCACCTCACCAACCCGCCCGTCGTGCATACCTCAGGAGTGGTTTCTCGCAGCACTCCACTTCGTTTGCCTCTGCATTTTCAAATCCCTCCTCCGCCGCAGCGGGCGAGTTTGAGAAGGGCCGAACATTCCAACCATCACAGGACTAACGCATAGTTTCACAATTAAATGGAACAATGAGTGTTATTACAACGTCAATTTCCTTCAAACCTAAATGGGGTAAAAATAATATATGCCTATTACGTGTTTAATGTCAGTAACAAAATCAGAAGAAATGTGTTCAAAACCTTTTATGACCACATTACATACCGTAGATAGGCCACTGCGTGTATTGATAACGCGATACACGTTGCAATAATTCAAAATCAAAATTATAGTACTAAAATGATACGGAACATGTGAGTGACTTGGTTTCTTGCTCCGCAGTAAAGATATATTGATGTTGCACTGTTAAACACTCATGACATGATTCCTTTCTTCATAGTACAATCTGCCTTGCTTAAAGAACAACTTTCCCAAATAAAAAATTGCACTTTTGACTTGTTCCGTTTCCCCACGTGCTGATTCAGATTAATCTTTCGCATCATCGACAAATATGATTTATAAAACGTCAAGTAACTGGGACTTTATTACTTTGGAATTGTGTCTATTGATGCTATGGGAATAAAAAGTTGTTGTAAGATATTAAAAGTTCCCTGTATCGACTTTTGATTGTACTACAGGTTTACTTCTAGAACTATATGCAGTCGGTGTATCTATTATCGGGAAGTTCGGGACTGGAGTAAATTTGCACGATTTGCAGAGACAACTTGCGGCAGATGTTCACACCGGGAGAACGAGCGATGCTCTATCCAGAGAGACAAAGCGATGATCTTACTGTTGACTGAATGTATGGGACCGCGCGTAAACGCAAGCGAATTAACGCATGTGGAAACACTAGACTGGCCGTAAGGCAAAGCTCACAGATATCAAGCCAGATGTTGCTCAGAGGATCCGTTCCAAACACTTGTAATTCTGAGAAACATAGAGCGTGGGCGGTTTCAAAATCAACTCCTGAATCCCTATCTGACCTGAAGGGATTGCACACATGCACAAGTACACAGAATGCGTGTGCTTGTAAACCTTTCGGAGGATTCTGCAAGCGTCTTTCGGGCAAATGGTCCCTAAATTCAAGAATTGTACCGAGAGAGATATTATTAAAAGTTCTGTTCACACTCGTTAAGACGTTAGCGCGCAGTAAGTAGGAAAAATTAACATATTTGCAGTTTCGGTGGTGTAACTGTTAGCTTATCGAATTGTTACGCCCACGTTCGCGGGTTTAAACCCGATCAAATTCGTGGAATTTTAGGGCGAAAAAACCTTCAAAGAATTAAACCCGGCTATCCCATGTTGTAGATTTACTGCATGTAAAATATACTCAAGCCTAAATGAAGCCTCTGAGCTAAATTCAAATCGTTTGTTTTGTTTCCCAAAATGATATTCTTTTTCTACGCCAAATGGAGAAGGAATCATAGCGAAATTTGCATGGTCAGACGAAAAGCAGATATGATGGCCTGAGTCTCGCCACATAAAATAAGTCGTCATTGCATTGAATTGAATGATTGCTACCAGAAAACGAATCTATTTTTAGTAGTTTACGTGAACACATAATGTATGTATCTGTGTTCTAGGTAGGGGAAAGGGGTTCATTTTACTACAGGAATACGACAAGTTAACCAAACTCTCCTAGAGTGGAGGATATCCATCAACATAAATATCTCCCTATTTTTCAAACATTCCATTAGCATAACTGATAAAAACATCTCTCATCAACACAATGTATGAAACAGAGAGGCTGAAAGCGGTAGACACACAGGGGAATAGCAATATCAGAAAAAATATTGTGTAACAGAACTTTCAGGAAATAATAAATGAACTTTTTCTTGATATTATCTCTTAGCAAGGTTAGCTCCATCTTCGAGTTACCTATATAATTTTTAATATATTAGCCAAAACATTGAATTTTCATCATCAAACATGGTTATCCACAATGGTGTTAACATATGCAACAAAACAAAAAAAAATTATCGTTATTGTTGGGTTATATAACCTTTTTGATTCACAGTCAAATGTGACAGCATGGCATGATGGGTACAATATATCAAAACATCATTTTTGTGAAAAGTGTCGGACAGACCCTGTTAGAGCAAGCAAAGCTAATTTATTATATATATATATATATATATATATATATATATATATATATACTTCGCATAGGTGCACGCTTAATCAGGTTCTTGCACGCTAGCGCATGTACTATGTATTCCTTCAAATGGTTCGCCGAGCCACCCACAGGGGTCGCGGGCTTACACAGGAGCCCTTGCCTGCCCCGACCGCCGCGGCGTGACGTGGGGGTTCAGGGATTACCCTCGCCGGGTACCTGCGACCAGCGCCTCTGTGTCAGCTCCGCTTCTTTGTGTGGGCTTCTAGAAGCGTCGCCCGTGACGTGGCAGATCCCCCACTCCCCCCTGGCCAACGGCAACCGACGCGCTCTTTGTGCAGGGCTACAGACCTTCTTCTCTGCCTGGCCTTCGGACCAACCGGACGTGTTGTGCGCCGCTCTCCTCAACATGGCCTTCGGCCCAACAGTGTGCTCGTGCACTACTGCCCTACGAGTGGGATATTGCGCGCCCTGGCAACCAATAATGCCACGGGTAAACGGTAACATTATTATACTGTTTTAGTGTTTTACATGCGGCGTAGCTGTGTTGCACACATGTCTTGCACACGCTATGCCTTCACCAACGTGCCTCTGCCCCGATCCCACGTGTGTGCGAGCGGTCTGCCCGCACGGCTTCAGCACCACGTCCTGGCAAGAGTTTGACCGATGGCGCTCCGCCCGTCCACGTGTGTGTTATTGCCGTACACATTCAGTCCCACGTCGTAGGAAGTTCTCTGCTAACGGCGCTCTGCCCGTTTGCCCTCCGCCTGCCTTGCGACGGGCCAGGGTTGCGACCCGCCGCCACACATGCCGGGCTGCTTGCAACATATTCAACTGTACAATTGCACGTGCTGTGTATCCATGTAATCCATCTGTATAGGTCATAATGTACCTTTTTTTACTCAATGTTCATAGAATTATAGTGTACTTTTATTTTATAATATAAATATGTTTATGCATTCTATTTCATTGTCTCATGGTAACAAGTACCTGCTCAATTTTCTCTCTGGCAGTCCAGACCTGCAGTGGTGGTAGTAACCTGTTATTGTATTACAGGTGTCTGGGTGGTCCTTCGCGCCTCAGTTTATGAGCTATTGTAGGAATGTTTGGGTAGGGTCGAATTAACTGCAATCCATGCACAGTCCACTCGCTCGACCCAGCCATCCAGACCTTCCATTCTGAGGACTGGATATGTTGAAATTTCAACAACGAGCCTGGCAGCAATGTGTGTGTGCGGGGGA